GGGGACAGAGGCTCACAGTGAGGAGTCCACTAGTTAGTGGCACCCTAACCGGCATTGTCGAGACGGGAAGGGGGCAGCAGGCTTTGCCCACCCAAACTGCACTTGAATCCTAGTTCTGCCTGGAACTTTCTGGGACAAACAACTTGGTTTCTCTTAAGCCTCACTTTCTTGTAATGATATCCGTTCCCGCGAGGACTTGCAGGGAGCATCCCTAGGGTCCCACGTGCAAAGTCACCGGCCTAGTCTCTGCTCTGTAGCAAGCACATGCCACAGATGGCGGCTGCCGGCAATGCTTTTGGCGAGAACGTGGCCTGGGCTCCCAGAGCTGTCGAGCTCGGTGTCCGTGCCCTTGCCAGCTCAGGGCTCCAGACAGCCAGAAGGTTCCGTGCGTTCAGTGTTACCTGCTTCACCCCTGGGGGAGAGAATCGTGGATTTGTCTTTGTGCTGCCTCCAAGTTCAGACTTGCCCGCCGGGCCCTTTTCCTATTCAGAAAGCTCCTGATCTGTGAGGAGGAGTGGGGGGTTCTTGCTTGTAAGGGCGCAGTTTCCACACTCCAAGGGCGCCAGGTTAAGGACTGAACCTTGCTCAGTGCTCTGTATCTCTGTGCTGTCCTCGGTTGTTACCGCCACACGTGGCCTTGAGATGCACTGTAAGGGTACATACTGGAGTTTGAAGACTTTACCAAAAAATGCAAAACATCTCTTTAATCATATACGGTGGTTTGCCTGTTGGAATGATAACATTTTGGATATATTGAGTTATGTAATTTTTTTGTGTGTGTGTGTGTGTGGCTCCTGGAAAATTTCAAAGTGCATATGTGTGTCATTTTAACATTTATAAGAAAGTATAATAATAACAATACATGATTTGTCATAGGGCAGGATTTGACTAAGTGCCAGAGACATATAAAGAAAAAACGGTTACTACCACCTTTGAGAGAAGGTACTGGTACTTAACTTGGCGAGCATCTTCCGATTGCCTGTGAAGATGTGAGTTTTCTCTGAGAACGTAGTAAAACTGTGTGTTCCACGTGTTTATACGACTCATCGGCTGCCGGGGTACTACGTGGAAGGCACTGTGGCGCTGTGGAGCGGAGTAAGCGTTGCTAAAAGCGAGATTCGTCTCGTGATTTAGCTGAAATGTTAGCTCTGTAGCATAAATTCAGTAAATATTCGTTCGATAAGTAAAAAAAGGGCGTACTTGTGTTGTTGGCTTCCGTTGTATTTCCATTGTCTCGTGCATTCGATAAGTAAAAAAAGGGCGTACGTGGCTTGCGTTGTTGGCTTCCGTTGTATTTCCATTGTCTCGTGCTTATCGATACACATTCCGTCATTTCGGCCTCAAAGCATCCATTTGAGGTGGGTGGGATTATTACCGTTTTTCAGACGACGGAACTGAGGCTGGGAGAGATAATGTCACTTTGATTGAAGTTAAAACTAGGGACGGGGTTCTTGATGCCGCAGCCCGCATCATTCCCCTTGACTCTTCCGCCAAATGGAACAGATGACTGAGGCCGACCCTTTGTTGTAGGTATGCTGTATGTCAGCTGATTCTGGAGTTGGTGGCCAGGGCGTTGTCACTGCTACTAGATTGGGGGGGGAGGGTCTTTCTTCCTCTTCTTTTAAAATTTATTATTATTATTATTTACGCCTACAGCACCTGGTCTTCTTAGGTGGTCTCCCATCTAAGTACTAACCAGGTCCAACCCTGCTGAGCTTCCACGATCAGACATCACACCTGTTCAGGGTGGCATGGCCATAGACCATGGACCGTGACTCCACTGGGGCGTGAACCCAAGACCTTCTGCGTGTAAAGCAGACGCGCTAACCGCTACACTATGGAACCACGTCCATGGGCCTTTCTTCTTCAGGAGCCCTAAAATATTGCCATTAGTTTACGTTAAGACCACATGGCAAGGAGACAGCAGCACCAGCAGACAGAACACGGAGTGGAACTCAGGAGCCCTGGTCTTCGCCTGGGTTCTCTGTGTGACCTTGGGCATCTCGAGGCCTCCTTACTCGCTGGCTCTCTTTCACTCGGATGTTCTAATCCCATCGTCAAATCAACGTGACCCAGATGTGCTGACTTACAGATTCACCCGAGCTTTTCTTTTCTGAGAGTGTTATTGAGAAGCCCAGAAATTCTGGCTGCGCCCTTGGGAAATTCAAATTATCAAACACCACAGGAAGAAGCTGGCTCTCAGAGGCCACTGTGTGTGTGTGACATATGTATACCTAAATATATGTATATGTGCATGTGTATACATATAGGACTTAGCTAAAGTTTCCTCATCGGTAAATGATAATAATAAGTTTCATACATGCACGCGCTATACATGTAGCCCTGTCTTTATATATGTAGCTCATACATATACTTGCCTCTCTCTCTGTCTCTCTCTCTTTCTCTTTAAATATATGTATATATAGCATGTATGTGTATGAGACTTTAGCTAAGCTTTTTTTTTTCCCATATATCTCAAATATTTTTGGAATGTAGCAGACTTAGAGTAAGTAAATACATTTTTAGAAAGTTTTAAAGTAGAAATGAGGAGCTTTTAAACTGCTAACTGCCCAGTTTATTTTTTAAATTTTTTGGAAAGGACAAATTATATTTAGTTTCTTCTCTCTGCTGACTGCTGGTAATTCCCCTTTAGGAAAAAGATCTCAGATGAGCACTGTGCTCAGCAGGAGGCCTCAGAATAGAGTGGGAAGAATACGTGGCCTCCGGATCTGGCTTCTGACTGTCACTTGGCTGTGGAACGATTGGGACCTATAGTTGCTTTCTTGAGTCTGAATACAGAGCTATAAGGTGGGGACAGTCCGCAAAGGAAGTAGGATATAGTGTGGAGTAGCTGGTCTGTCTCTCAGTTCACTCACCTGCACACGCGCACACACACACATATGTACAAACCCTACAAGCGTACATGTATACGTGCACAGACACACACGTGTGAAAGGCAAGCAGAGTTGGTCCATTTGGTCCACTCACATGGGCAATTGGGAAATTTGCCTGAGACATACTGAAATGTTCAATTGACTGAAGCAAATGGCCCATTAAATCGAGCTCATCCAATCAGGAGAACCGACCTTGAACCACATATTTTTTGGCCACTGCTCCTTAAACATTTCTTCTTTATTTTTTTCCCTAAACGACGGTGTCAGCTGATCTTGCAAGTCCCTTCTCCAGCATTCTGCAATTCTCTAAAGGTTTCTAGCTATTTAATTGCTTGTTCTTTAATATACATTTTTCCAAACGACTCATATCATTGATACCCGAGGGAGGTGCATCTCTTGGTTTGATCATACAAATAGAAGCCCAGTTGTGGTTCTCTTTTTATACATCCTGGACAAATGAATTTTAAACCTGGCATAAAAAAGATGGTGGGCCTTCTCGATAGAGAACATTTTTATTGGCTCTGTAAATCCCACAATCCCCAAGCCTGTGTCTAACCCATCACTAACTGTGTTTAGATAGGGATTCCTTTAAAAGACAGATTCCAATCTCCTCCTCTGGGAGAGGATCAAACACAGATTGTTGTCTGTCAGCTCCCTGAAAATGTGGACCGTGACCCATCTGTCTCTGAGAACCCCATGCCACCTTGGCCAGCATGGCCTGTGCCCTTAAGGGACTTTAATGCCTAAATATGATAAATCTCAGATGGGTAAAGAGGAGAGAAAGGAGGCAGCTTTTGTAAAGAGAGCCCCGAGTTTAGGGTTTTGAATTTAGGCTCCAACTTTTGCAGTGGACTGATCTTTTTCGTGTCCTTGGGTAAGACTTTCATTTGTGACTGTCCTGCCTTCCTGCCTGACACTGTGGGGCTACCGTGGCAGTCAGCTGAGCAGACTGTAAGACCACTTTACAAATAGTAGGCTCTGCGCGCATGAAGCCTCGTTCTTTCTAGTAACCTCAGCTGTTTATCCCTCTAGCCATGCTTCAAACACACCCTCTTCTGTGAAGCCATCCCAATTGTTTCAGGCACAACAAATGAACATATCGCCTCTCTGTGCCCCTCCTAAACGATAATCAGAACATACATCGTGCCGATGGCTGTAGTCAGGTTGCATCCGTTAACCTTTCCCAAATTCATGCTGCAATACAAAACACCCCGAACCCCGAGGGCTGCAAACCACGCGGATGCATTCTCACTCCTGAGCCGGGATGGCCGTGCCCACTCGGTGGAGCTGCGGGGTGTCTCTGCCACAACCTGTCACATCTTCCTTCCGGGACCAGAGGCCGGCCAGGGCACATTCTTTTCCTGGTGATGGCAGGAGGGCAGGTAGAAACACACCGGGCCTCTTAATGCCTAGGCTGGGGACTGGTGCGTGGTCATTTCTGCCCACACATCATTGTCCAAACCCAACTCCAATTGTCGGTAAGCGTGCTCCCCCACAATGCAACCATGGCAAGAACGGATAGGGGGGAGGCTCGGGGATGGGGGGGTGCAGGAGGGGTGAAGAACTGGCACTAAACAGGCAGCCTGCCATATAGGTTCGCTGGCCCCTCTGCCCGGGGCTGGCAGCGGTAGGTATTTCCGGATCTTCGCTGAGGTCCCAAAGACCTTTGCAACCCTTTCCAGTATAGTAGTTTGGTAAACTGTGGCTGCAGGGCCAAATCGCTGTTTTTGTGCAGAGACCTAACCGTATACATTGTTGAGAAGAGAAGAGAGTAATATTTAATGATGCGCGAACATTATACAAAAGTCAGATTACTGCGCCCGCAAATAAAGTCTTATTGAGACACGACCACACCCATTCCTTTATGTAGTGTCTATGGCTGCTTTCCTTTCTAGCAAAACAGCATAGTTGGAGTTGCCATAGAGACTGTATGTCCAGCAAAGCCTAAAACATCGCTATCTGGCCCTGCACAGAAACTTTTATAGGATCGAGAAACTGCGGGAGCCCCAGGAAGGTGTAGCTTTGCCCAAGACTGCGGAGCTGTCGGCTCCATCCAGCCTGTACGCATTTGGGGTTAATGCTCTCCTCTCTTCGTTTCCTAGTAATTGGTGGCCCGCGACACCCATGTGTCACTGATCAGGAGGCATTTCCAGTCGCAGCGCTTCATGACCCAGCGACGTCCGGCCCAGTGAAGCCACCGTGGTGTGCAGGTGTCCGGCATGGCCGCGCTGCTCCTGGGCGCGGTGCTGCTGGTGGCCCAGCTCCAGCTCGTGCCTTCGCGCCCCTCCCCGCCGAGGGCCGAGCAGGACCAGCAGGAGCTGGGGCGGAAGGCGGCCCCACTCCGAGACGAGGGCCCCAATGGCGCGGCGGCCAACGGCTCCGCGCAGCAGCTGCCTCAGACCATCATCATCGGCGTGCGCAAGGGCGGCACGCGCGCGCTGCTGGAGATGCTCAGCCTGCATCCCGACGTGGCGGCCGCCGAGAACGAGGTGCACTTCTTCGACTGGGAGGAGCACTACAGCCAGGGCCTGGGCTGGTACCTCCGCCAGATGCCCGTGTCCGCCCCGCACCAGCTCACGGTGGAGAAGACCCCCGCGTACTTCACGTCGCCCAAAGTGCCTGAGCGGGTCCACAGCATGGACCCGGGCATCCGGCTGCTGCTCATCCTGCGGGACCCGTCGGAGCGCGTGCTGTCCGACTACACGCAGGTGCTGTACAACCACCGGCAGAAGCGCAAGCCCTACCCGCCCATCGAGCAGCTGCTGCTGCGGTCGGACGGCCGTCTGGACGCGGACTACAAGGCGCTCAACCGCAGCCTCTACCACGTGCACCTGCGCCACTGGCTGCGCTTCTTCCCGCTGCGCCGCATCCACGTCGTCGATGGCGACCGCCTCATCAGGGACCCCTTCCCCGAGATCCAGAAGGTCGAGAGGTTCCTGAAGCTGTCGCCGCAGATCAACGCCTCGAACTTCTACTTTAACAAAACCAAGGGCTTTTACTGCCTGCGGGACGGCGGCAGGGACCGCTGCTTACACGAGTCCAAAGGCCGGGCGCACCCCCAGGTCGACCCCAAACTGCTCAATAAACTGCACGAATATTTTCACGAGCCCAATAAGAAATTCTTCGAGCTCGTCGGCAGAACATTTGACTGGCACTGATTTGCAATAAGCTAGGCTCGGAACCTTTCCTACTGTAAGTTCTGCTGTACGTCTGGGGGAGGGGAAAGAATTTTAAAAGGGCATTTAAGCTATAATTTATTTGTAAACTCCATAAATTACTTCTGTACAGTATTAGATTCACAATTGCCATATATACTAGTTATATTTTTCTACTTGTTAAATTGAGGGCATTTTGTATTGTTTTTCATGGTTGTTAACATTGTGTAATATGTCTCTCTATGAAGGCACTAAAAGATTTCACTGCAAAAAAAAAAAAAAAATTCTGGAGACGCTATCTTTTTTGAATATAATTAACTTGCCCCTGACTCAGAATAGCTGTCTGTGTTGCACTCATCAGAGAATCCGTATTCCTTTGTTACTTAAAAAAGAAAAAAAAAAAAGTTTTCCATGGCTATTATTTTCATCTCTCCCCACTCCTTTCTCCGTTGCTCTTTTTAATTTTTAATGTCTTGCTGTAGTCACCAGATTTTTTTTACTTGCATGGTAAGGTTTATCTTCACTGAGATCCCCTATTATTCTTGGAAGAGGCAGTTTCACCCACTCCTGCCTTCAACCGCTGCCTGGGTGTGGATTTTAACCCCGTGTAAACTCAAAGCGGACAAAGCAATATCAAGACTGAGGAAGTAGTTAATAACCAGCAAGAGGCTGCCTGTGATGCATCTTTGCCTCAGACAGTGCTTGCATATATTTCTGATCTCAGCAATAGGCAAAACGTACAATAAAGGTGGAAAATCCTACAATAAAGGGGATTAAAGCATCGGCCTTCACAATGACCTTGGGACTGGGTACTTTACCCCAGATGGCCATGGGTCTCTGCAAAGCCACTTGGAATAGAACAGAGAAATTGCAAAATCTATGTGTGTCTCTGTCTTGTAGAGTCTGTGAAAAGCTGACTAACGGGGTAGCCTTTACTTAGGTTAGGGTCTATTTTCTGAAAGCGCTCACTCTGCATTTATAGACATATATTCCATCTGCTTCGAGACATAGATATGTATCTGTTTAAAAACCAACTCTGGTCTACGGCTATGGCACCCCGAATAAGCCCGATCCCGTCTGATCTCGGAAGCTAAGCAGCGTCGGGCCTGGTTAGTACTTGGATGGGAGACCACCTCAGAAGACCAGGTGCTGTAGGCGTACAAAATAAGGGCTTGTAAGCTGACAAGGTCCTGGCAATCTGTGAGGTCAACCAAGGGTTGCCTCACCTAAAAAAAAAAAAAAAAAACACAGATCTGATCAGCTCTGAATTTTGAGTCCTGACGGAAGATGCAAATTTAAACTCCCAAGGGTTCAAGTCAGAAAGAGAAAAGCACAAATCACAGAGCTAAGGACTGAGGACCCTTTAACACCTGCACCGAGACGCCAGAGGCAATTTCGGTTCCCCTTGGGCCTGTGAGCAGCTGCGTGGCTAAGGAGCCTCAGTTATCCTGCACGGTCTTCCTCCCTTCAGCCTTTCAAGGATTAAATAAATTGGATTTTTTTTCTCATGAAATCAAAACATTCATTACAGTAAAATGAAAAATACGAGCAAGCAAAATAAAGCCATTTCCTCACACAGTTTCTACTTAAGGCAGAGTTGTGGAATGGACATTATTGATCATCTTGTGCATACAAGAACTCATTGACGTTTTCCCCCAAGCAACCTGAGGACGTAGGAATTATGGCAGATTCGAAGAGGAGGAAATAGGCACGAGGAAGATAAGGAACTCGGTCAAGTTCACATTGACTATAAGCCAGGGCTTGGAGTCCATGTAGAGCTAAAGCACGGTTTTCGATTTGGTTTGGTTTGGTTTGGTTTGGCTTGGTTTAGTTTCCACCCACCTCCTTCTGAATTCAAAGAAAAGGCCCAGACTCAGAGACAGCTCTCCTCTACTTAACCTGCCAGATTCCTGACCTGGTGCCCAAAGCCTTTCAGCCCAGGGGGTGTGCCTGAGCTGGAGGAAAGGGGCAGGAACGAGCCTGCATTCTCCTCAGCAGCGCTATCAGGGAAGTGAGTCATCTGGATTCTGTTCCAGCAGCTGCAGCACAGCCTGCCCCTAGCGCGGCCCCAGACCCACCCCAGGCCCTTGGTGGACCGCCAAGAGGTGCCTCCCTCCACAGAGCTCGTTAAGGTTGTCACTAACGACCAGCTCCTCGGAGGGCATGGCAGAAGCCCTCGCATCAGGCGTCCCCCGGACGTGATGCGTTGCAGTCTGCAGAGCACCTCCATCTGCCCCCGTCTGCAGCACGGCGCTGGGTCTTGCTTTTTCTCAGCCCCATTTAAGAGCTGAGGAAAGAACGAGAGGCCAAGAGAGGTTAAATTGGATTTCCGAGGCTGCCTGATAGCTGATGACTGAGTAGAGAGGCCAGTGTGAGTTTTCTGACTCCCAAGAAGACGCCTTTGCCTGTGCCCTCATGGGGATGGTTTGCTTGGGGCGTGGACCGTGGGGGCAAGAGGTGGTGGGTGGGAACGAAGGAAGGAAGGGGTAGGACCAGACACTAGGGACGTGACGTGGCTGCTGGGGCTGGCACAGCTGATGGTAGGTGGGGGTAGCATCATTGAGTGCACATGTAACAGCTGCTGGTTTTAGGATACAGCGTCTTGGCTAAGAACGAGTTCATGGAGGTCTACCGTGGATCACGGATTGGGGTCCGAGTGGCTATGTCCACTTACTAATTTATGGTTCTACACTAGCCAGCCATTCAGAGGGTATGAAGAGTAAGAAGCCATCACTCTAGGCCTAGCCCAGGCCCTTACATCTCATCTGATCATTGTCACGTTCAGAGGATGCCCCGTAGTTGACCTGTGCCACCTTCCTAGGGACCCAAATGCCATGACTCAAGCGCCAGATGGGCACCTGGGCCCTCCCCAAACACACCCAATACCAATTCTGATGCCAGCTGGAGGGAGGGAGGTTCCTGCCCAAACCCGCCCAGGCCCAGGGCAGGCAGGGCCTCTAGGTGGGGGCCTTCAGAGAGGCGGCTGAGAGCAGCTGAGCACAGCCTCAGCTATCGTATTTGGAGTAGTCGTTGCACTTGATGCTTCTGAGTCAGGACAGATCGTGCCCCCCACCTCCCTTCAGGAATCAGAGAATGCCGAAACTCTGCTAACGCTGGGTATCAAGCTCACAGCCTGAAAATTTGCTAGTTCGGTGAAAATGACGATGCACCTCTGAGCACAGGGTGACTTCTCTTCCTCTCCTGGGAGACTTAAGGGAGAAAGAAGCAAGGCAGAAGAGACCAGTGCCCAAGGTGGAACCAGAGATCGCGGCCAAGTGTTCGATAGTATTAAAATTTTATTTTTTCTTTTTAGCCCCTGTGCTGTGCTTAGCATCTTATTAAGCCCTCGATATAAAAGAAAATGCAACAGAAACTAAGAGTTATTAACTATTCTGGGTTTAAATTAGAAACACAGGCTAGGAAGGCAGAAAAAATGACATTTAACTGTGTGTGAACTGGCCAGTGTCGTGTGTTCTCATTTAATTCAGAAACATCCCTGGGAGGAACCAACTAGCCCCATTACAGAGATGGGGAAACTGAGGTATAAGAAATGGGCCTGCCCTCGTTGCTTTCGAAGAAAGAGGGGACGACCACTCACACTGGAGAGGTAGTTGTCCTGGAGATGAGGCACGCTGGCATTGAGGACTCTGAACTGAAGACGAGAGAGGACAGGCCATTCCTAACGTCATGAGTCAGGAGTAGTACGAGGTAAAGATTCTTCCCAAAGGTCTCACAGCAGAGCTATGACCCAGGTCACTTAACTTATGGGCCCCAAGGACTCTTAAGTCTTCCTGGGGGACGCGCTCTGGAGCCAGGGCATGGAGGGCAATGGATGTGACCAAAGCAGGGCCTTCTGGACAAGGACAGCTCAAGGGGTCAGACAGTGATGATGGGGCGGAGAAAAGAGGTAGGGAACGTGAAGGCAAGGGACTTGTCCACTGGACGTGCAAACGCGTTGTACACACTGAGAACTCACTCTGCGTCAGGCCCTCGTGACCTTGACATCTGTTTTCCAAGCTGTGGAAACTTACTTAGCAGGCACCCGCGTGTCTCTGTCTCTCGTGCAGGTGTGTCTGTCACATAAAAATCGCTATCATTTATTGCACGCCAGATATGTGTTTGGTATTTTAAATATGTTGCTTCTAATCCGCATGACAATTCTAAATAGGAAATGGCACAGTACTAATTTTATAGAGGCAGAAACTTAGTAAAGACTTAGGTGTTTCATCTGCTTTTCCTTAAGATGGAGCTTAACCCCCAAAACAACTCCTAACAGCCTGCTATTGACTCAAAACCTTCACAACAGCATCAACAGTCGATTAACACGCGTTCCATATGTTATGTGTATGATATATATTGTATTCTTATATATAGTACAGTAAACTAGAGGAAAGAAAATGTTATTGAGAAAATCATAAGGAAGAGGAAACACACTTATAGCATATTTTAAAAAAAAAATCCCCAGATAAGTGGACCAAGGAGTTCAAACCCATGTCCTTCAAGGGTCAACTGTATAATATGGATAAGAGTCTAACTCGGCAGCCTGGAGAGAGACTTCCCCACTGACATCGACGTCACTCACCGGGTTGTGAGAGGCCTAAGAGGGGATGACGTAGCAGGGGACTGCAGTGGCCGGTGGTGCCGAGAGTGCCCACCCGGCCAACATCTGCCAAGGAAACAAAGCCCCTTCTTCAAAGCTGCCTTACGGTTGCAAAGAACTCAATTTTACCAACAATCTGAGAGCTTGGAAGAGGCCTCGAAGCTCCGGGTGAGAAAGCAGTCCAGCTGAAACCTCGATCGCTGGCCAGCGAGACTATAGCAAAGCTAGGGCCCGCCTGGACCCCTGTCTCGTGGAAACTGAGATAATAGATGTTGCTTTAAGCTGCTAAGTTTGTACTAATTTATTGCATATAGATAACAAATACAAAGACAAGCCTGCTTTCCGACCATTCATCTCAGCTTATGCTCACTTTTTGTCCTCTCTCTTGAAAACGAACAAACAAAATGCATGGCCTTTTGCTACCCAAAGAATATATATTCATCACATGACAACCAGACCCTACAAGTAAGATTGTTCAGAGATAATCACTGTCAACATTTGGGTTTCCATAGTTCAAGATTTTTTTTCCACCACGTGAATGTGTGTGTGTGTGTGTGTGTGTGTGTATTAAAAATAAATTACAACTTTTTTTTGATAACTCGTCCAACAGTCCAAGGAACAAAAATCAGTTGATATCTATGAGTCGACAGAGTTAGAAGGGCTTTTAGAAGTTATTTCAGCCAATCTTCTCATTTCACGGAAGAGGAAGTGAGGGCTGGAGGCGGA